CATTGAGCAGCTCTGGGCTGTTTGTTCTACAAGCGCTAGGACCCGAAATATAGGCTTGTTCGGCTTGTTGTGGCTTCTGAGATCCCAAAAATTCCTAGCTACCTACATGGGCGATACTTACCCAAACCAGAATAGTAAATCCTAGTATAGAGCCCTACTTTTTACCATATCGGTACTTGTAAATAGGACTCTTTGGGGATATATGTATGCAGACCACGTCCAGTTTGGGATGCTGTTGTAAGGAGCGTAGACTGTTGGGCGATCCCAAACCGCTCTGACATAGGCTGGGGCTTAGGCTTTGGGGATGCTTCAGGTCTCTGGTCTATAGCTAGACCCAGGAGTAACCTAGGAATGAAAAGGGTGCCCTTTTTGGTTTTAAGGGGAATACAAGGGAGCCCCAACCCTAGAAAAGGAAATAAGGGCCTACTCCGGGTCCTAGATAGGGTCTATAGGTCTTGGGGCTGTAGGGTTTACGCCTTCGCATCTATAAGGTTTAGGGCTTCAGCTGCAAACTAGAGTTTTCGCAGGCTTTGTACATTAACCCTGAACCCTAAACCTAAGCCCTATACCCTAAACCCTATACCCTAAATCCTATACCCTAAATCCTATACCCCACACCCTAAAACATCAGGGAATCCGAAGGTATAGGGTACTCTACAGTACTCAGGCCCCTCTGTTGCTCCAAAGCCTCAGACTCGGAATTCCGGACCAACACAGCCACGAATCGAATTAGTAGGACATTCAGGATTTAAGGTTTACCTATATAGCTCCATGGTAGTTCCTTTGTTTTGGGTTTAACCAACTTCATGAGGCTCCTATACGGTAGCCCCAAAAAGGAACTACAATGGCGACTATAGGTAGGGGGTTCTAGTTCGCTAGAAACCCAGCCTCGAAGGACCTTTCTTTGGTGGAATCAAGTTTTCTCGCGGTGCGTTCTACTTCCTGGCAGACGTGCCTGCAGGCTCGTAGGTTCGAGCAGCTTGCCTAGACTTTTTCGACGATCTGCGAGGAGAAGAAGTTGAGGCAAGGTCGTAGCTGAATCACGACCAAGAAACAGCGAGATGAAGAGCATAGACGCCATGTCGCCACGGAGACAGTGGTGCAAGCTGCTAGCTGCAACAGTCCGGCTATAGAGCTGTGTGGCTACCCAAAAAAAACCGATACATTCATGATCAGTCCGAAGGAAATTAAGCATGGAGCTTTTCATCTTGGTGACGCGGGGTGTCTCTCTCGAAAGCAAAAAGCTGCGGTTTCCACCCAAACCAAGATCTAGCGTCTCCAGGGTCCAGGGATGCAAAAGTTGGCTCAACCTGCCCTGTTGCGGGGGATACTTTCCCAAATCAGAATAAGCATTCCGAATATAGAAACCCTACATTCTACCATATAGATCCTTTGGACCCTTTGGGGAATGTAGGGTTTCTATATTATATAGGAATTACTGTTATGGTTTGGGCAATGTATTCTCAATAGAGGTATTTAGGACCCTAAGTAATTTATAACCATTACAGAACCTGTATAGAGCCCTAAACCCTAAACCCTATAAGCCCTACAACCCTAAACCCCAAACCCCAAAACCCTAAACACTAAACCCCTAAAGCCCGAAAGCCCTAAACACTAAACGCTAAAAACCCAGAACCCTTACCGCACTGGTTTGGAAGCCCTGCAAGGCCCAAGCCCTATGCCCAAGAAACGCTCAGCTCCGTAAACCTCGCACTTCAAACTGGGGTATACTTAGGGTTCAGGGTTCCGAGTTCAGGGTTAGGGTTCAGAGTTCAGGGTTGAGAGTTTAGGGTTTGCGGTTTAGGGTTCAGGGTTTAGGATTCAGGGTTTAGGGTTCAGAGTATATACAGACTTCAGGGTTCAGCGTTTAGGGTTCAGGGCTTAGGGTTTAGGGTTTAGAGTTCAGGGCTTAAGGTGTAGGTTTCACGGATCAGGGTTCATGGTGTACTGACTCATGGTTTAGGACTCGTGGATCAGGGTTTCAGCGCTTGGGGGTTAACACATGCCGGGAAGTTCGCCACCACCGCTGCCGTTGCCGGCGCGAAGACGGCGGCGCCCTGGGGCACGCAAAGTTGGACGGCCAAGAAACTCCAGCACCCTAAATTCAGAGGGCATACTGGGGTTTAGGGTTAAGGACACCCTAAATTCAAAGGGCGTACGAGGGTTTAAGGTTTAGGACACCCTAAATTCAAGCGGCATAGTCGGGTGTAGGCTTTAGGCTATACTTTCAGGGTTTACCTATAGTCTCCATGGTAGTTCCCTTTTTTGGTTAAACCGACTGTATAGTCCTATACAGTATACCCCCCCAAAACGAACTACAACGGAGACTATGGGTAAGGTTCAGGGTCAGGGCTGTGGCACTTCATTACTTGGCACCTCTGCAGCCTCTGCATGAGTCTAAACCTAAACCCTAAACACCGCTCTGCTGCAACTCCAAAGCATCAGGCCGGGCAGGCTGCTGACAAACGCCCTTCAAGCAATCGCTACTCGATGCAGAGCGCAAGTGGGCGCTGAAGTGGAAATATTTTCGCCTGAGGTTTGCGGGGTTGTCGACTCTGCGTCAAGGCTCCATCCCAGTGTGTGTTTGGAATCTTCCGTCACATCCATGTGGCTCTGCTGGCTGCGGTCCGGGCCAGGGGCCCTAAACCCTAAACCCTAAACTTGAGTTGACATGGTGCGGTGCTACTCTATCGGGCTCAGGGAGCGTTTTGGAGGGCTCTGTAAGAGCTCTGACAAAGGGTTCTAGGGATTAGGGCTCAGGGTTTAGGAGACAAATTAGGCTCCTCACGGGGTTCTACAAAGTGCTTTTATAGGGCCTCAAGTATAGGGAAGGCTTTGTGGGGTTAGGTCTTTCGCGGTCGTTGTTTGATAGGCTTTTGAGTTTCGGTCTGAGGATTTGGGGAGTCTTAGAACAAGGCCGCACAGCCTAAGCAAACCTGGGTCTAGGGGGTTTAGGCTTTCGTTCCGGGTTAGGACAGTACCCTGAGGGTCCATGTACCCAAAAAGTGTATACTTTGGGCCGAAAGTACCTGTATGGGGACTACTCAAAGGCCAAAGTATATACTATTGGGGCACATGGACCCTTAGGCCCTTAGGATTACTGTTTGTGTGTTGGGGCGTCGGGTCGAATATGAAAGGTCTACTTGCTGAGCCTTCCGGCTGCTCAGCTGTTGAACCAGAACGGTCAGCCTTCCGTTTCAATTGAGAAATATGGGTGCGTTCAAGATAGTGAAATAGTTGCAAGAGGAACAGCAAGGAATAGTATGGGCATTACTTAATTCAGGTCTCTATACTACTAAGTAGGTGTGTTACTACTAGGTAGGTGTGTGCAGTGCGACTGATGTTAGGCTTTCCCAGTCGGCTTTTTCGAGGAGCCAGTAGACCAGAACTACTTCGATGTCATTGGCTGAAGGCCTGTAGCACTAAACGCTACAAACAAGTGTATGTGAGGGTTTCCGAATAAGGGGACCCTAATATAGTACCCTAAATAGTAGGATACTTACAATAAGGACCCCAAAATAAGGTACCCCTTGTTTTCAGAAACTCCCATGTGTCTGTGCGCGCCTGGCTCTTAATCGGTTTTCGGATCCACAGGGATACCTCTTCATGCCAGGGATCCTAAACCCTAACGCTAAGATATTGATCGGGGGGGGGGGCGTAGGGCTTATAGGGCTCAGGGTTTAGGGTTTAGGGTTTAGGGTTTAGGGTTCAAGATGTAGGGCTTATAGGGCTCAGGGTTTAGAGTTTGGGGTTTGGGCCTTTCGGTGTAGTTTGGCGTCCTCCCTCGATGATCTCCCCAAGCACAAGAAAGTAGGAAAGAACACTAACCTGACTGCTCCTTAGCCCCAAAAGCAATAATCCCGGTAATGATACATATAATAACATTCTATGAGGACCCAATTCCTTAACTCTAAACCCTCAACCCCAAACCCTCGTGGAGCACTAGAACAACCAGTCGGTCCTTGCTTCGTCCATGCAGCATTGCGATCGCCACCTGCGCTGAGCTCTCGGCTTCAACGATTTGGATGTGTGTTGGGATTCTTAGTGTTTGCTTTTTGGGGGTGCTCAGGACGTAGAGGTTTCGGCATTTGGGATTTCGGGTTCTATGGTCTGCGACTTTACGATTTAGGGCTACACGGTTTAGGGTTTAGGGCAGGGTTTAGGGTTTAGGGGGGGAGTATGCCAATTTAGCATGAAGTAACTGGGATTCTGGCTCAGGGAACAAGGGAACATCTACTGTCATAGTCAAATAATATCGGTCACCATCCGTGCCCACCGCAGCCACAGGAGCAACTGTTCGAATGGCATTGGCAACATTGTCAGCGTCAACAACATGGCATTGTCAATGTTCCATCCTTCGAATTCAATGTCGTCATCATCATTTTCACCACCAAAATAATCACGTCATTAATATGAGCAGCATCAATATTACCGCAATCACCTTCATGCTGCCCCTAAGCCCTAAACCCGAAACCATCCTGCAACATGAAGCGAAGCGTGCCCGTCAGGCGACCCCAGATCCCAACAGAATTGCATCTTGTAGACCTGCAGGTGTACCCTCGTTATTGCTTGTTGGTGGTTCCCTCGTTTCTGAAATATCATAGTATGGTTTAAGGCTAAGGTTCAGGGTTTAGGGGTTTAGGGTTGAAGGTTTAGCAGGACCCTAACCATCAAAAAGCTTAATTGTTAATTTCCTGCAGTAGGCACAACACGTCGTCAAGGTCCAAACCCGCAAACCTTCAGCGGTGGGGGCCCTTGCAAAGGTTGATTCTCGAGATTTCAGCACCTTTGCCCTTGAGCTGCGATCTGTGTCTTTAGCTCGCCGGGGACGTTTAAAACCCTTGGATGGCTCTAGAAGCGGGGACTCTATTTTGGTTGCAATGTCGCGTCAATGCTGTGGTTATCAAGCGATAAAGGTTAGGACTAGTGGCCGGGAACGGCGAAGAGAAACCCTACACGCCTCAACCCCTAAAAACGGCAAAGAGCACGATTTTTCCCGCGGTGCAGCAGCTTTGCCACCGGTCCGGCGAGTCCGCGCTTCACCGAGAGCAGCGTCCTTCAGGCGGCAGAGCTTCTCTCGCATGGCACGGAAAAAACTCTAAACCTTACCTTGACCCTCAAGAACCTACCCTTTTCAGGACCTTTAACGACTTTGAGTTTTATCAGGAAATCATAATACGAAGCCCTAAAGAAGGTAGGTTCTTCAGGGTTCAGGTAAAACCTAACCCGTGGACGAAGACAAACAACCATTGTTGCACTGCTGGGCGGTTCGAAGTATTATGTACTGCTGCAACACCTGGTCATAGCATCCTTGAGACCTACATCTACAAACCCGACTGACGATAGGGAAGCATGGCAATCATAGCGAGTCTATCAGCCAGACCACTCGCTCTTGCATATCCGTTGCCTCAACCTCAAATAGCCCACCTTTTTGAGGACTTATGCAAAGAAATCATAGTAAGGAACCCTAAAAAGGTAGGTTCTTTAGGGCTCAGGTAAAGCTACATCAGGTATGGTCCAACTTCCTTCAGGCCCATGGAGGCATCCTTCTCGGGTGAAGAGCAGCTCAGGGAATACCGGCACGTTATTCAACCTTCCCTTTCGGGGCTGGATGAACAGGGATGGATGGATGGATGCATGGTTGGATGGAAGAATGGATGGATGGAGGGAGGGATGGATGGATGTGTGTATGTCTGTGTGTATGTCTGTCTGTATGTAT